GTGCCTGGAACTTTGATCCAAATCCTGGTCGCGATCGCCCAAGGTGTCTTGGCATCCCAAATGCTCCATCCAGCGCATGCGTTTGTACAGGATACGTGCGACCAACAGGGAGTTTCTACTTGGCGCAGAGCACTTTCTAGAACGATGCAGACATGAAGCCCTCTCACTGAACCTGGTGGAAGCCCAAGGGCCGCCGCAGCGTCGCGGGCAGAAGAGGCCAAGCACTGCAGTCTTGGTCTTTAGACTTGGCTCATCAAGTCCATTTGGTCTGTTATAGATTCGCATCCGAAACGTTCGGGATGCATAGTTGATTTCCAAGCAGAGTGTTACTCCACAAAGGCGGTCTGCGCGACGCTGCCAAGGCCATGAGAGATGCATCCGCAATCAGACTAGCAAGAATGAAGCAATCACAATCTCGCAGTGACTCCTCGTGATGCTTACGATCGCTGGCAAGAGTCTTTCAATACTTTAGTAAGTCGGCTTAAGCATCTGAAGCCCATGCGTGGGATTGTGCACATCTTGGATCATTCCCAGCAGCGTGATACACATGCAACAGTAATTTAACCGCTAACGCGAGACCGCCTCGGCAAAGGTTGTTGAGATTCAGAAGCTGGGCGATCCCAGCAGAAGCATGCATGGTTAAAGAGTGATGGCTTCCGAATGTTCCCCCCTGCCTCCCCCCCCCCCTTTGTGGAACCCTGCCGACCATGCGGATCTCCCCTGCCCCCCAGAAACACGCAAAAAAGAGCCGATCCTACCCGGCTGGGAGGGGGTAGGGGGTGGGTTAAATTACCTTCCTAGCCCCCGAACCTGCATCTAAACGCCCCAGGCCTCCGGCCTCGGCGCATTGTGCATGTCATGTGAGGATATAAGGCGAAGCTCAAGGATATTCGATTTGTGATGCCGTTTGTTGTGCTCAAGAACCTGCTCCGGTTCCACGTAGCAGGTGAAGCACGAATAGCTGAATAGCAGTATCGATTTGACAGAGCTATGCTGTAGGCAAAGTACAGCTGAGAATGTCGCATTTGGTACTGCCACTAATGCTTTTGCAAGAGGAAAAATCCGGCGCAATGGGCGTCATCCGTGTTGTCAGCCTGATTTCCTTGGGGCTTTGCTGTGCTGTGCTTGGAGAGGAAGCATGCGCGGGGCGATTGGGCGATGAGAGCAGCATGGTGCAAGTTGTTGCAGAGCCAAAGACATTGTCGGGGACTGGCAAAAAGGCAGAGTCAAAGCAAGACAACAGTACTACTTCGCAGGGTTTCGAGAAGAGCCATGCTGAAGGTGTAGCCGCGACTGTGAAGGAGCCAGCCAAACCAGTTGAAGTGACTGCAACGAAGCAAGAACCCTTGCCGTCCAAGAAAGAGGATCCGCAGATGATTCAAAGCATGCTTGATGCATGGGGGAACTTCTTGAACGGCCTTCTCTTTGGTTAGGGCAGACCTGCGGTTTGGCCCGCCAGACTGGCTGGGTTCTGGCTGTGACTGGTGACATGTGGCTGTGAGTGCTGTTTGCCCAGTTTCACATTACTGGTTTAAGCGTGTGTGAGACTGATGTAACGACTTGAAGACGAGTTCTTACTGTTTATCAGTTTCATGCCAAGGTCGGCAGAGTGCTGCAAACCATACAAGCGCAACCTATGTTCATCGGATGTGGGGTAATGTGATAGGCCGAGTGTGCAATGACTTTGCCTGCCTAGTCTTTAGACAGTGGAAGAATGATGTGGCTTAGCCACCGGCCCAAACGGCGTTTAAGTGCTGGGGCCAGGAATATTTTTGGCTATGGTAAGTGACAGAGAGTGATTGCAGCAAATTCCTGAACTCCTTGCACAGATCTAGAGACGACCGCCTGCCATCATCACGAGCCCTCAAACGCAGCAGCTCAAAAGCCGATTGCTCCTGTATGTTGCAGAGCTCTTCGCCGCCGAAAGTGTCCTGGCCCGTGTGCGAAGTCGTGCTGGACTGTCGTGATCAGCGTGTCCTGCGGCTGTTTGGTCAAGGTGTGAGGTTTCAGGCTCAAAACGCACGGTGTTTTGTCCAGCCCCTGCAGTCTGTACTAGGGTATAAGGGACATGGATGCCGTTCTAAACCCCCGCCTCTTGTA